ATGGAAATCCTTGGTTTAGTCCAGTTGAAGTCAGTAACAGATCACGGTCAAATCAAAGATCAGGTACAGTCTATAGTGCATTCTCTGGAAATTAAAGTCTTTTACTGACTTAAAGAACAGGTTACTTTTTTGGTTACGTTATTCTGAATGGCACTACTGTATCTTGAATCTGAAAACTGCCCATACATATAAGTAGTTCTGTCCAGCTTCACTTTTCTGTTTTGTGTCTGCACAGTACCTTTAACAACCATGTGGTGTGCTTTACAAAATTCTTGGTGAAAATTATTATTTAAAAAAATCATCCCTTTGAGATAGAAATAATATACATTATTTTGAACAAATCAAAAATAAGGGACATCTTGATAGCCCTCACATTTTACTTTGGGCCAAGGTATTTCAATAGTGATTTAGCTCCACCAGTAATTAGCCTGTGGTGTCATGGTTTTGTTAGCATTAGAATTAATTCTGACTTAACAGTTACAAGAAGTTGCTCAGTTCACAGAAATGTATGTGTGTAAAATTAGTAGAGTTTACAGTGATCAGCTAAATAATATTTAGTATATAGCTTTGATTTACTATGATAAAAGATTAGTCTGTCTTCCATATGAAAAAGAGGAGCCTGACTTAAGCAGCTGCTCAGAAACGTGCAGCTGAAATTTCTCTGTGTGACCAGTGGAGTCTCCCCACACCTACACTGGTGTATACACAAAGAAAGAAAGAAGGAAAGAAAGAAAAAAGAGAAATAAAGGACTAAACCACAGAATTTTTAAAAGAACTTCTTACGATCAGCTTGAACTTGAATAACGTAACCCAGTGTCAAAGCCATCCGCTGGGAGTCAACGGTACTCAAAATTTTGGCAGCCGCAGTGCCCAGCAAAGGTTTCCCGTTATATAAAGTATAGTATGTCAGTTCAGCCGGCTCCTTGGGTCCTGGAATACGCTGGATTTTTACCATCTTTCGGGGGGGGGGGGGAAGAAAAAAAAAAAGAAAATGAGAGAAAGAGAAATAAACTGTTTGTATTATACCACTGCAAAACCTGCCAGGAGCTACTTGAAGGCAGTGCATGCAGGGAACTCCTTCAAGACCCCATGTAAGCATGAGGTCCATGCAAATATTCCCACAGGATCAGAGCTTCTCCCCTTCACAGCCTAGGTTATTAAGATTAGTGAGGACTGACTACCTTCTTAAAAATTTTTAAACATAATCCTAAGGCAAAACCCTATACTGAGAAAAGCATGCAGTAAAAAGGAGAAAAGGATCAAATGTTTGGACATTACAGTCCTCTGTAAAGAGGGAATTCTTAAAATCTGTCCCAATATTGAAAATTACATGTTACTGGCATGTTGCAATTGAAAATTTCCCTCACATTTTACTTCTATATGCATTATTTTTGATCCCAGGCTGACAATAAAGAGAACCACCAGCACAATTTTGGCATTGTATCTCTATCCTTCATGAGAGCACCAGAAGTGTCAAACAACTCTAATTATTAAATGAAAAAGGAGTTTTGTGATTCTTCTCCATTATGTTATTGACTAAAAAATGTCAAGTTTTCACAGAAAATATTACAAAGGTTCACACTTTTGGCAAGTAAAAACGTGTTCCTTCTTTTAAATTCTTTCAGTGGGAAAACACAGAATTGTGAGTAAATGAGAAAAGTAGTAATTTGGTTTTATATCTCACAAGAAAATCCTGAAAACCATCATGTAATTAAAAAATAAAAAAAAGAAATAACTTGTCATGCAATTTTTGAAGACCGATCCTCTCTGAATCCCCCACAATTAGCATCAGTTGGCTAAACTAGTGAGAAAACAAAATATGATCATTTCAAAATACTGAATGGGAAATGTTGTTAAATAAGAGAAAGATGATTAATAAATTGCTCAGAACTGAAATCTCTTACTTCATAATGTGATCTGTGGCCACATGATTTGATGACTAACCCTGTATAAAGACTGCTTCATACTTATTTCTTCCCCCAACAAAATTAAAAAGAAGTTCTAGCTTTATTGAGTTATGTAGGAAAGGAAGACCTAGGAATATAATTTTTTTTTCATTTAAGAAGAAAGCCTGTAACTCTTCATTATGTTGAATACAAGACTTTACACTAAAATATGCACTTTGGACCAATCTCCATGGCAACCAAAGAGAAAATGTTGATGAACACTGATAACTAATGACCATTTCTAGAAGATGAGATGCATGCAAACATGGGTGACTTCAGAAAAAGGAGCCCATCAGTTCTAGAACCCCAAGTAGCCATGCATTTTGCACTCACTGCTTTGGTATTCAAGGAAAAGACAGAAAATCTCAACCCTGTTAAACTGGAGGGTTTTTTCCACACAAACAGAGACAGGACACATGCAAACAAAGCCCTTTTCTCAACGCATATCCAGGTGCAACCGATGTCACATTGACCACCTGCACAGTGTAGCTGCCCACAGTAGTGGCACGTTTGAATCGTCTTCCTTGCTGATGGGACATCATAAACAGCGGGGCCAACCGCTGCTCCATTAATCTTGCAAAGCTCTGATTGTTCAGTCCCAGTAACGCAATATCAACCCCTTGAATAACTGTGGGAATGGAGAAAATCACATATCAGCACATTTTAGATGGACAGATAAAAGTAACATGTGGTCTGCAGGGCAGTTTGGGACAGTGATGTACTAACTGCTTACAAGAAAAATAACTGGACATTGTTACAGCCCCTCAGTAATTCCCGATGGGGATATAACGTGCTTCAGTTTCAGCTCCTGCACTGTTCTTCTCAGATAATGTCAATGATACATCAGAGAATAAAATCCTCCAAAAAAAATTCTTAAGCCTTCAGTTTACCAAAATGGCTCTGGCAAGCGACTAAACTCTGATCTTCAACACAAAAGTAAGTGAAAACCTGTTTGAGACCTGCCAGTTTTTACTCTTATTGACAGATGCTCCTGTCAACTAAATGACAGATTTTTGTCCAGCAGTTTTGAATTCTGAAGTTAGAATTTTGTCCAACTCGATGTGAAATAAAATACTATATGGTTGAGAGCACTGAAAATTGAATAAACATTTCCTAAGTAAAAATTAATATAAAATTAAAAATACACTGAATTTATGTTCAGATAAGTGATATTTCACGCTAGTCTAATTCATACAAATGTATGGGTTTTCAATATTATTTAAAAAAAAAAAATCTGTAGAGAACACCACGATTTAAAAAAAAAAACCACTGCTTCCATCGTAATATCAATAATATTCAACTACAGCAAGTGTACAAAAGCAAGAAATGGCATATCAGGTTCACAGGGTCCAAACAGAGAGGAGCTGTAAAACTCTCTTCAGAGCACCATTGTCTTCGCATAAACTTATTTTTTATCTCAAAATCTCTCAGGTACAAAATCACACTGGCTTTTGGAAGCAGAGTATAGAATTTAATCCATTTCATGTTTGGCTCCTTTTCTCTTGCTCTCCTGAGCATTAAACAATTCCAGGTACAGACACACCGGTTAGAAAGGCTTTAGTAGCTACTCAAAGATGGCTGGGGAAAAGGGTCTCTTTCTTGTCCAATTATCACTTCTAAAGTCAAAATGATTGTGAATGAGAATGTGATACCAGTAAAATGACTGCAATAAAACAAGTATTTTGAAGCCTAATCGCATCTTCCACACCTTCTTTTCCACCGACAGAAAGTTATGTGCTTAGTGCTTCAGGTGAAGGATGCAAAAATTCCTGGATGCAGCCAGAGTCAACAAATCATAAAAAACTTCCTCAGTTTAACAGATCATCTATCTGCCTTGACAGACTTGGTTATGTCTACAAGTCTGTTTTTGATTTCAGATTTAAATTCAAGTCCCAGGAGGAGGGGGGAAAAAAAAAAAAATGCCTGTTTGTGTTTTAAAACTCTGATAAAATAACGTGCTCTCGGAAGTGCTTCAACCAAAGCGCAATAAACTGAGATGAGTGTTGGACACAGGTCTCTGTTCAAGATGATGAATCACAGTTATGCCCCAGAGTAACATTAAATACATTTGCCCACTTGAATGCAGCAGGGAGGTTCAGTGGGCAGCCACTTATTTCTCTGTTTAGTTACTGCACCAATGTGTTTATATAATCAAGCACTAAAAATTATTATCTGAAGAGCACGGAGGAGGGAAGGAGATTTAAAAGTACCTGTTATCACCCAGTAGTCTCTAGTTGACTCTGACACATCAAGGTTTGGATACTCCAAAGCTTTAAAATAAAAATTGAAATTATGTCATAATATTCCAACATCCTACACATTATACATCCCAAAAATATTTGGTTAACCAGATACTGATAAATAAAATTGAACTATGGCCCAGGAGGAGATCTAAAGGCATAATTTTCGGGACTGTAATTTGTATTCTGTCTGGAAAAGGACATCAAGTGCAAGCAGTACACATGCTGCTGTACAAAGCAGAACATAGATCACGTCTGCCCATTACTAAAAGTAATGTGTAATATGCACGCTTCTATGTTATACACACTTCTGCTGTTTTCTCTCTGTGAGTAACCTCCTGAGGAAAACAAGAGGACATCCTATGGTGATTTGGTGATTTAATCCTTATTTAACCCAGACCACCATTTTAACCTAAAATAATATTAAAATAAACCAGGATCAGATTCCACCAATCACTCAGTGCAGTTCCATGTGAATTACAAACAAGACTAACGAAACTGAGCACACCTTGGAGCGTGGTACTCTCATTCTGCACCATTTAAGGTATTACTACCATATGGGTTTACATCTGTGAGAAACTGATGCTCGCTTTCTTGATGCCTTTTGTTAGCTTTTCCATCTCCGAAGTGCAGTAGGCTGTGAAGGTCAATATGCTGCTAATTCGTTATATAGCTCAGCATTTTTGCAATAGATTTATGCAAAGTGGAAAGCATTAATACTTGGAACTTCATTCAGAAAATACCCGTGCCTTGCACGTTGATACACTGCTACTGAGTTACCTTGATTTTTAAACTTCAAAGGGGCTTGAAATAGTAAACATTGTAAAGCAGCTGATTACGCACAGCAACTGCTTTTGAGGAGGGATTTCACGTCGTGTCCTGAGCTGTGCATTTCCATGACAGACTGCAAAGGCTCTGGAGGAGCTGCTGGAGTCTACTGGGAAATAACACACTCTGAGAACACCAGCAGTATTTGTTTGATAAACTGAAAGAACTGCACTGCCACATGAATAAGCATCAAACACTTTTCAAGGTAAACATTTTTACAAGACACACGATCAGTCTGAAGCCATAAACACTACGTGCATGTTAAGTTCATGAGTCTGCAGTATACCTGCTGCGCTGGGAATAAAACCAACAACTCCAAAATGAAATATAAGCCATTAGTTGCTAAAGGAGCACTAGCTAAAGACTTTATCAGGTCAGTTCATCATGTGTGAGTATCAGCAGAGAACTACAATAGCACACAAGACTTACTGTGTGACAAATGGCTTTCACAGCTCCTGACTACCAAGCCTAAGCTTGTATTGCCTTTGTGAGGAGCACCACATTCTCTTCCTACACAACAGGCCTATTTTGGAGGCCAAACACTTGAACCGAGCACAGTCATCATCAAAACTTCCTCAGGCTTTCTCCTTGTGCTCCTGGATGCCCCATGAAGACAAATCCTGCACACAGAGCACCCTTTGGACAGACTCATCCACCAGCCACAAAAAGGAAGGAGCCTGTCGCATGATGAATGGTCTACATCCCTTTCCAGGTGCCCAAGCACACCGTTTGCCAACAGCCTCCCTCCACCTCCCCTTGCCTGATGAAAATGCAAGTCCACCCTGAGACATGTCTCTTACCCTGTGTTGGAAAGTCTGATTCAAAAGTGTACTAATGCAGTGCAAGAACTCACTGTTGGGCAGTTTCACCTATTTGTTTAGAATTATCTGATTTGGATAGATAATGGCTTAAGAATAATATACGCTCCTTCTTTTTCAAGGATTTGCACAATCACCATACTTGTGATTCCGGACCACTTCGCACCACAGACAGCAGAGTGCTCATTGTGTAAATAACTGATGAATAATTGCACAAGATAATTACTCTGCTGTTGGACTGCTGCAAATAAAATGGACTGACAAAAAAAGGTAATTTGTGTTTTCCCCAGTGCTCACTTTCCAGCAGCCTGGTTCTGCTTTTTCTTAGAATCAGAAAATGAACAAGCACCTTAATAATTTTACCTAAAGCTACAAATCCACTCAGTTCAGCGTTCTGATCATAAACACCTATATGTCTCTATCCTTATGTACCTGATTATTTCAATACTTGTGAAATGAAAAATCACAAACTACTCCATCACTGGTTTAGCCAAATCAGTGAGTTTGATAGCTACCAGAAACTTAACCAGATCCTTACTAGTATTTAAGCACAGCATTTCAAGTTTCATAAGCATCTCGTGAAGATTTACACACAGTTTGATCAGCTGAAACCTGCCCTTCCTCAACCAGAGTCCACTACCTTGCAGTGACGTACCCAGCGTGTCTCTCTCTCCTCTCACTTTCAATGAACAGATAACCCAGCTCTACAGTGAGTTTAATTTCACATACCAAATATAACAAGCAGATTAAACAGAAATCCCCATAATCAAATTTCTTTTGCCTTTATTCATTTTAGAGAAACTAGCATGGACTTGGAGAGCATACATGCCACACAGGATGACCAGACACACCACTTTCTCTCTGAGTCTTCATAACAATTGAAATGCAAAGCAAATTGTTGGCATTAAAGAGCTCAGACCATATTTTAAGCTGAGGATGAAGGTCAGAAAATATACCAACAACTTTTTAAATGGAGAAGTGTAGGCAGAGCTCACCCACTACCCAAACACACATTCAAAGTGTGCTACTCAGTCCTGCGGCTGCAGTGAGTGCTGGGGTTGAGCCGTCCACTGAAGGAAAGGGCCATGCTGAAGATAAAGTTTATGTGCTGCATTAAGTTTTCCTGAAATGAAGAATTTTGGAAATTCTGTGGGGTTTTTTATATAAAACTACAATTTTATATTATTTGGAACTTGGCACAGGCATTATTTTTATTAACGACAGCATAGATGTATTTTTCCTAGTTATCTGCAAATGTTTCTAGCTGCTGAAATAAACACTGAACCCAGAAAATCCCCCCATCTAATCCCCTCCTCTATTTTTTTTGTTTAAAAAAAAAAAAAAAAGATTGAAAAAGCAGTCAGCAAAAACACCTACAATCTGTGAGCTTGACGACAAGCAGTGCTTGCAAAGCAAAAGCCTGACACTGGCTAATCTTAAGGAGCAGTATGCTGGGAAGCACATACTTACATTCTGCAATGGTGAGAGGAGGGTAGGTTAGATAGAAACCCACTAGCTCAGCTGACAGCTGATTAAGAAGGTTGCTGGAAATGGTGCCATTTAGAGTTGTGCTTTGATTGTTCACTACATAAAACAGAGTGACAGCTTGGGAGACATTGGAGGTGTTCAAAATCTGAAACAGAAGTAAAGAAATAATGTGTAGCTGTGTTTCAGCTCAATTGCAAAGAAGAAAAAACAACAACAAAAAAACCCCACAAAACCAGTGCATACAAACTGGGAAAAAGTTAACTTGGACAATGGATTAGATACAGCTCACTCAATATGATTGTGTAAAGCAGGTTGTGATACTTTAACTCCTACTTTAGTACATGCAGAGTTACTGGAGGACAGCAGCAGGCTGGACTGAAAATATTTTTCCCTGTTTTTTACCAGGAAGCATGAGATGAAGGAGAGGATGCTTATCAGAAAAAATGTTCAGTATTGGATGCAGAGGAACTAGGCCTGTATATCTTGCTCTCTCTGCTGTCTTCCTAGCACAGTTATCTAGACCTACTCCTTTTCCATATGAAATAGAGGGATATCATGTCTCTTCTGTTCCTAGCATCATGCCATGACTGGCTCTCCTCCCCGCTTTAGCTCTATGCTAGTCTCTTCCTGAGCCCAAATCTGAAGAGTGCATTTAAGGATCAATTCTATTTAGGGAGTACTGGATCAGACCCTCAAACACCAGTTTCATGCAGGAAGCAGAGACATGAAGGCAGGGCAGGGCAGGAAAAAGCCCATGTTTTCTCAGAAAACTCATGCTCTAGGACAAGAAGGATGGTTTTTTAGTTACTAATATTGTAGGTAGGGCCAACAGTATTCAGCATTCATGAATGTTATTTAAATATCCCATTTTTATGATTTGGTTCACTAAGTAAAAATATAAAACATGGTATAATTAAAGCATCAGAAGAAGAGTCCGAGGTCAGACCAAAGGTCTGCCCAGCCAACATCCACTTACAAATGGCCAAGAGTAGATGGATGAAAAACAAGCACAGGGCAAGAGACCCTCTTTTCTGCAGTGTAAGGTTAGCTCATAGCTATGGTCTAAGTCATAAATTATATGCTTGGGTTTAAAAAGGATTGATGACTTTTTATTCTATATGTTTGGCCAATTGCTTTTTGTAACCTCCATACTTTTTCTGTACTTACATCTGGCCACCTTCAAGATCTTATAACCCACCGTGTGAAAGGATTTTTCTTATCTAAACCCAAGTAGTTCTGTTACAGGAAACTCTAAATGACCACTCCTGATTCACTGCACCACTCGTGGTTGGAGAACCACAGCTGATGTAATTTCTCCTTGGGTGGAAGTTTTCATGCCTTTTACCCATGTTGCTGCCATTCTCTCTACTCTTTTAGTGCAGCAACACCTTTTCTGAAGCAGTTCCGTCTGCTCCAGAACTGTTCCTCAGTTTGTAATTAATCCAAAACCCTCACACTATTTCCTGCTGCACTGACTTAATCCACCGCATGGCACCGGAGTAATTTCAGAAAAATGTATCATGAAGATCACACCCTTGAGCCTCTTCCCCATTTATATATCTTGCATCCACGACCTCCATACTAAGCTGGCAATACCCACAAAAGCCACAACTACCATCTTTTTCTAGGGCTCTTTACAAAATTGCCTCTGTGCTTTGTAAGGTCCACGACTTCTGTGAGCAAATTAGCCACCGTGAACGTCCCCTCAGCATCACAAGTCCAGCTATTGAAAAGCTTCATAATCACTTTACCCACTGCAGTAGGTCACCTCTTGCCATGCACTTTCCTGTTTCTCTGTGCAGCTGGAGTTTGAACACAAGCTCACAAGAGACAGTACCAAGGTAACTAAGCAGAGCTCTGATGACCAATTTTCTCCTGGCAAATTACACGCAAACTATTCTGAGGAGCACAAGTCCATACACAGAGTTTTATTACACATCAAATATATGTGATAGTATCACCTAGAGGATAATTTATTTATTCCTGAAGTATGGCACAGAGCATAAGAGTGTTGGCCCACTACACATAGTGAATTTGGGTTTGTGAGTGTGGAACTATAATGCACACAAAAAAAGAAAGAAATATATTCCATTAGCTTAGATCTTACAAACAGCTTTGCATGACACTATACCTGAATAGCCTACAAACAACTAATATATCAGAATAACATATTCATTAACAACATAAATTTGGAAGAATATTTTTATATATTTCTTTTTATTAGAATCTCACTTAATTTATTTAACTGCAAACAGTAAAATTCAAATTCATTAAAATAACAGTCTTCTACAAATCGTGCCTTTGTAAGTTTTCCTGCAATAAATAAAACAATCTTATTTCAGACTGAAGCATAAACTTACTTCCATAGTGGCTATCAAAGTTGTTATGTTGAAATACAAGCATACACATAGGAAAGAACAACCCAGAGAGTTTGACAACAAGCACTGGCAAAGCACACAGCGCTGTACCTGAACTGTCAAGTTGTTGCTGGTGTTTAAGACCTTCCTCTCAGCATCCTGAAACGCTCTCTGTAACCGTTGCTCCATGGTCTGAACAAATTTGCACGACTGTATATTGTCTGTTTGACCCACAAACTGCAGCTCTGGAAAAGGAACAATGTATTTGCACGTGGGCAAAGTATTCTTGGTTGCGTAATTCCTGTAATGTCTGACAGCAAGATGACCAATGTACAGATTAAGCAGGTAAAAATTATGCCACATAAGATGCATTTATGTCATTCAAGCACTGCACTCAACTAGCCTTAATTAATATAAATGTAAGAATTAAATTGCGTTATTAGAGTTGATACTCTCCACAAACAAATGGAGAGTGTTGCTGCAGTGATATATAGGATGGTAAGACCAGTTCACTGTACAAATACTTACTCAGAGTCAGGCGGTAAGTGAAAACATTTTAAAACACAATACTCTTAAATCTTGCAGGCTATTTGCTCTTGCAAGACATAATCAACCACAATATTGATTCTCCTTCTGTTTGTGCTAGGAAAAATATACTTAACTGGGTAATTGCACTAAGCATGCATATTTAAACATGTAAGCACACATATAAGAAGTCTTTTTACAACTAAATATGTTGTTTTACAGCACTCTCTGCCCTCGACGCTGTTCTGCTGCACTGCAACTGCTCTTCACTGATGCTTGCTACAGCACAGGGTGGGGTTTACGCAGCAACCCTGGGTCAGACAGCTGGGACCCAAGTCAAATCCAGTGGGTCCAGCCAGAACAACATATACATGTACCATAGGGTCATGTTTCTCATATGATCGTCCTCAAAAGAAACACACAGGTTACTGCACAACCCAACAATTAAAGTCCATTTTAATCAAACACCAAGTCTTTGTCAAGCATGTTGGTGTGACTCATCCTGAATGCAATGCCAGTTCATTCCACAGCAGTGCCAAAAGAGGTGACAGCCGAGCACCTCAGGACAGGGGTGACACACCAGCTGTCCTGCTTGCGCCAGGAACACCAGCACAGGAAACCACAGCAGAGCTTGTCCGGCTGCTGCGCGAGAGAGCAGGGGCTGTCGCCAGAGAGCAAAGGGGAGGAGAAGCATCATCCCGTGCACTGAACTGCCAACACACACACAACCCCAGGCGCAGGTGGGCAGGACCTCACTCACCTGTTTTCAGCTGGAAGTGGTACGCGGGAAGGGGCTTCCATGGCAAGGCCAGGGCTGCCACGGACTGGAGGTGGGGTACATGCTGCTTCATGTCTGCTGTGGCGTTGCTAATGCCGTATGCAAGAAGCCTTTCAATTACAGCAGCTGGCATAAAAACCGTTCTGCCACGTGTAACGTAGTAACCAACTGTCATGTTACTTGACTGCTCCAGGATTTCAACCTAAAACACACAGGGAAACTTTTTTTTTTTTTTTTTTACTTTGCTTGCAGTTCAACCACTAATGATGGGACTTCTCATCCTGAATATAGCTCCTTTGCAGGGCTTTTATTCTGTAATCCCCTATAAGCCCTCCAGGATCAGTTAGTGTCACATCAGACATAGTATTAGCAGAACTGCTCAGGGAGCTTTAGACCCAGCCCACACAAAAGGTGCTCCGAATTGAAGCAGTGCAGTATTGCTACTACAGCTCATGTACCTCTAATTTAGACTGAAGCTTCATTCAGGTGTATATACTCAGACATTTTACTTATGGATTATAAAAACACAGAGAACTCAAGGAACATCCAGCTCCTACTTCACACCTGAAGTTCACTGACTTTGTGCCTGTGTCTGTCATTGCAGGTTTGGAGACAGATTTTTGAAAGACAAAAGTTTCCAATATTTGATTCTTCAACCTCAACTTTCTCTTCTATGCTATTTTTCCTACACTGCCCCAGATCTTAAGCTCACTGTGAGCCAAAACACGAGTTGAGTTTTACCTCAATATTCTGATTTTTCCAAGAAATTTAAGCCCTGGAACTGGTCCTCCACACTAAGTTTTAGCTGGTTTCCTCCATTAGAAAAAGGCAGCTTCTCTCAGGTTTACAAGAAGGTGGGAGAGTAAGTCTGAGTTTTCACTGTTGCTGCTGAGACTCAGGAATATACAATTCCCAAACCAACTAACACCATCCAAATTTGCAGTCGTAGAGCACGTGGACAGAAGTCAACCTGATGCCCTGTATTTTGAGCAAAATTATTTTTTTCCTTCCCAGTGGCTTGGTGAGTATAACTCCTAACAGCCTTGGACTCAGCACAAACCCCTGCCTGAATGCACAGCAACCTGTGCTGCACAGAGGAGTGCCCCAGCGACCCACCTAAGCCTGCTCCTAAGTGCAGCAATGCAGAGGTTGGTGCAATTTAGCTGCAAAGCTATGAGCAGGTCTCCCTCCTTTATTTTCAATAAAACATGCTTTCTCCTTGCTCAGGATTTTCATCCCTCTGGAATTGCACTTGTCAGGTACTGATTTTTCAAACCAGAGAGCTGACTGACAGCAGTGACCCCTCATTTAATAGTCCTGCTCCTGCAATGACCCCAGCTGAGCACAGCAGCCCTTGGCTGACCATGAACCAGAGTCAGTCCAGAGCTGCAGGGGGAGGATGAAACTGCTGTCAGTAGTCATTTCCCACAACATTCCAAAAACAAAGTTGCATTTCTTCCTTCTACTTCATCAAATAAAATGGCAAAAGCTTTAAAGCAGTCCTTATATTTTTATTTCTTGCCTGCTTTCCATAGAAAAAGCTCTGTGGTCCCCTCCAAGAGGCTTCCCACACTCAGAGACAACACTTGGAGCTGCAGCCAGCTGAGATTCTCTAGGTGGGAGAGCTCTTTTGGCGTGATTATGCAGGCAAGCCAAGTATGCTTACCTGAGCACTGACGTTTTGGTTGAAAGCTTGTCTCAGCGCTTGGTTGAGTCCTTTTCTCACACTCTCCTTGAAGGGATTGCTGACCAGCATCCTCCTTGTGTTCAGAACCAGAACTGTGGAACAACAAAAGCCACATGTTGTTTTGAGACATGGTACTATGTGCTTTTAAAAATTGTTTTATGTTGTGCTGGCTGGACACCGATCATCAAAGCAGCTAGGACTTGTAGCAGCTCCAATGGGAGCAAGAACTGCAGGGGCTCAGCAGTGTCCCCAAGTTCCCTATTCACCCCATGGCAATAACCCATTTTTGATAGAGTGAGGTCTAACAAATGCAATTTCTTTAGCAACAACAAGTCTTTGCCACGCTGTGGTTCTCTGTGAGGTACGATGCCACTTGATCGCGGGTGGACAGACTGCTGCAGCCTTCCCAGGGGCCTGAGCTGGTGCTGCACAGGTAAAGCATGTGTGCTTCATACCTTCACCAGAGTTAAATAAACAAAGAAATGTGTTACTCCACTGCTACAATTTTTTTCCACTTAGGAAGTGTCTGTACGCTTTCTTTATTAACATTATCACTAGCTTTTTCTTTTCTCTTACAATGGGCAGAAAGATTGTTTTAGCTGCACTTAAGTACTTTCAATCGCACTCTGTATACAAGCTACTTCTATCTTTAGAAAGAGTTGTTGTGCTCATCATGCTTCTTTGCTGAGATCTCCAAGATACACACATCTGGTGCTGCACTGTGATACCATAAAGAGTCCACATGAAGCCTGGGCAAGGGACCTCTCCAGACTCCTTTACTTCAGAGTTCTTACAGCTAAGGAGAAGTTGTCTGTAAAAAACCAGCCAGAGCCAGAAGTGGTACACTGTTCACATAGAAAGTTCAAATCCTCCCATTTTGAAGCATACAACTCTCAATACTGAACGTTATTTTCAAATGAATAATTAGCGATAGACGTAGGTGTTCATATAAACACAGAGTTAGGTATTGTGCTATAAACAGGGCCAAAGACTGAGGCAGGTCACTGCACTGTCCAGTGACACTGCAAAGCAGAGACCAAACCATCGTGTCATACAGAGTTGTCCTCCCACATTGGTGGTTCTGCTAGGTCTCAGCAGTGACCCACTGAACCTCAGAGCACCTGATCTCACTACTTCATTTGACACAGCATAAAATCCAAGCTACAAATAAAGCCAGTGCCATCCCTGTACTACCAACCCTGCTTTTATCTGTCTGGTTTGTCAGTGCAGCAACCTCATCCCCGGAGTAACCATCAATGCCTCCACATTCCTTCACACTTGAGTGTATTTCCCGCTCATCGCCAGTTGCCCCTCAAAGACAAGCAAGGTCCTTTCAGCAAAGTCAGTGGCCCCACATACCTGTTTTAACCATAAGGTTCCTGGAGAGCCGGCAATCCAGGGGAGGAGCTGCTGTCATGTTAGCGAAAGCGGCTGCTGCCGTGGTTTCAGGAGGAGCAGAGGTGTTTTCCACTGGAGTAGGGGGAAGCCTAGTTGCTTTCGCTGATGCTGTAATAGATGTCAAAGGTGCTGTAATTGTCAGTGGGTACGAGGTTGACGTTTTGGTGATTTCTGAGCTTGGGAACTTCTGTGTGTCAGTTACTGTTGTTTCTATCTGCCTTGGTACATGTGCTGTGGGTGCAAGTGTGGAAGCTGTGACCGTGCTGCTTTTAGGGGTTATGAGCATAGCTGTCACGTCCACGGGTAACGCAGTTGTGTTTCTTGTTGCGAAAGGAAAATCTGTATGTGTTCCTACCGAGCTTAGATCCGATGCCAACTTTGTGGCAGTGTTATTTCTTATTAGTGTCAGTATCGGTGTGCTTAAAGCCATCACAGATGGCAAGGGTGTGTTTCCAGTGCCTAGAGAAAAGAAGGAAGAAGCTGGCACTAGTGAAGCTGGAGATGATTTTCTTGTTAGTGGTTTTGCTTCTGAAGTTCCTACTGTAGGTATTGCACCAGAAGATACTCCAGATAACACTGCAATGACAGAATGGGTAAAGTTGGTTGTTGACAAAAAAGGAGAAGTTAGTGGTGTTGGTGATGCATGGAGAGAGGTTATGACAACTGACTGCAGAGAGCTGGTGGTAGGGGTTTGCAATGGGATGCCCTTGGTAGCTTGATTAGATATATTACTAGGAACTAGACTACGTCTTGTAGTACTTGGGTCCCACTCCTCCATACTAAATGCAGCTGGATTTTTATCAGCTGTAATCAAATAACCAGAGGACTCGAACTGGGCATCTGCAAATTCAGGCGAGTTTCCAGAACCAATGTCGTCTTCTATCATAAAACTGTGTAAGACAGTTGAGCTAGGAGGCTTGGTCATGGGAAAGGGGGACACAGTTGGCAGCATGCTGTGGATAGCACTGTTTTCATAGCTGGCCAAAACAGTCAAGTTGTCAGTGAGCTGAAAAGCCAATGCTGGTGTTGGGCCTAAGGTTTTTGTCAGTAAAGTGATCTTTCCAGCATCAGTTGTTTGTGATTCTAGAGAGCTAGGGAAAGCATCTGTATCATTAGCAGGAGGAACATGTAAACGGGGAGGTTCTTCATAGTGCGTACTGGCATTAACCTCTCCAACAGTGAAGAAATTAGCAACGTAGTCAGCTGTGCTTCCAGGCTTTTTTTGTAGGGGGTCAGGGACTCTCAAAGCAGCAGCAAGGGATGAATACCGAACAGGGGATGTTTTCAGTGCAAATGCTTCTACATTGAATTCTGGAAAACTATTTGACTTCATCCCAGTGAAAGGTAAATTTGAAACATTTTGACTAAAGTTTGCATATGTATAGTTTGCTGAAGAGGTGGGGAAGAGTGAGTGATTATTCGTATTCATTCTCTTTTGCAGACTTGAAACTACTGAGTATGGTACATAGTACTCAGTTTCTAATGGAGAATTACTTGGAGAAACTTCTCTTATTGCTGTTTTGACTGAGGTTTTTACTGAAGGAATATTAATACCAGCTGAAGACAGCAACGCTGTATTGGTCCACGTAGAAGCTGAAGCTGTGACCTCAGGAGAGCTGACAGGATCTAAATTGCTTTCAGAGTCCACACTCGAAATCCCAGAAAAGCTGGAGGAGCCATGGCTGTCCATCACTGTTGTCATGGAAACCAGTGGTGGCCACATACCCCATGCTGGAGGCATGACAGAGGCAATATGCTTTCTATCAACTGAATGTGAAGTCTGACCAGAGGTAAAATGATTTAAAGCTTTTGGAGGCGAGTATTCTGCACGTGGGGTCACAACAGCTGGCACTCCCATATTTCTGTCTTTATCTGCAGTTACACCTGGACTTTCTGCAGCACCAGGTGGAAGATGTGCAGTCACAAAGACAGTAGTAGCAGATATATTTGTGATAGCAGGTTCGGGGTTTGAAAGGCCCGTAGTGGAAGTAATTAACAGCGCTGCAGCTAGATATGGACTAGTCATGCCTGTTGCCAAAACAGTGCCTAGTGTTTTTGATGCTTTGGAGAGTCTACTGGTTTGGATACCTGGAGAAACTTTGGAAAGCTGAGATCCATAAGGCAGAACACTACTAGCATTAAAACTCATGGACACCTTTGTTGTCACCCCTCTTGTGAAAGGCTGTTGAGCTGTTCTTGCCACAGGAAAACCATCAGGAGCTGGGAGGGTACGTGCAGAAGCAGTTGGCAATCTCATGCTGTTTGCCTGATAAGCTCCATCAGTCAGGTCTTCTGCAAAAGTCTGATTCAGAGCCACCACCGAGTGCTGCGAGAAAACAGTCACAGGGATTTGCAAAGCATCCTCATCAGCTGCTGCTGCTGCTGCACTGGGGCTGTTCCTGTGTGCTGTCCTAGTAAAGGTGTCGTTTGTCTCCGTTGGCAAGGACAACCTTGTGCTTGTTGAAGAGGGGTGAGTTGCATTTCTAAAGAGAAAATCTCTTTCAGTCCTAAATGCTCGTACTGGCAGCACTGCACTGCGAGCATGCTTTGCATCTGGAATAAGTGATTTTGGCAATGAAAGGGAAGATGTGCCCTCTGTTGAGCTGGAGACTTCAGCCAGGCGCTCAGAAGCTGATAACATGAAAGGTGCACTGGTGGAGCCTGTAGTGCAATTAGTCAGTGCTGTGGAAGACTGAGGATGACTCATTTGGGGTATTAGTTGTGGAGTACCCACAGGATGGAAAACTGATGTAGGAACCTCTGCTTTATCCTGAAAAACTGGTGATGACATAGGAGTGATATCACTGTTTCTGTCAGTCAACACTGCCTTAAATGGCTGACTGCTTGGTTTTACTCCAGTAGAAGCTATGTTAAACATACTATCATTAGGAAACCGCAGCAGGCTTCTGGAAGTTACTGGCAGGGAAGACTGATAAGGTTTTGACACAGGAATATCAGAGTATACAGCCAAAAAAGAGGTCCTTTCTGAAGCAGACCCTTTTCCCACTATTTCTGTGAAATGCACTCTTGTCAATCCAAAGAGACCGAGATGCACAGTATCTGTAAACAGCTCGGGACCCTTTTTGTGATTCACCATACTGGAAGGTACTACAGTGACTGTGCTTAAAGGACTATTTCTGCTTTCACTAACCTGTGAGCTGGCTGAATCTGTGCTGAAGAAACCTTCAGGATCTGCAGACAAAGGCACTCTGATGGGCAATACAGCTGGTTTAGAAAAGTTAATGGTATGAGGTGACTGAATTACCAATGAAGAGAATGATGGTGATGGAACAGCAGCAAGCATGTCTGATCCTGATGTGCTTTCTTTTGAAATGGAGGGTGTTTCTAATGGTATTAGCTGAAATGGCACAGCTGTACTTGAATGTGTCACTGATGGTGTAGTGGACAATGTGGCAAACATACCAAGTTGAGGCAAACCTGGTATAGCAGCTGTTTCATCTGCATCTTGAGATGATGACCTCAGAGGCAACTCAGCTGAAACTTCAGCGGGTTCCTGGGGCGCACTGTTTCCACTACCTTGATAAAGGGTGGTCAACAGATGAGTTTGATCCAAAGTCCTGGTACGTGTGCCAGTCAGTGTTGTTTTTATCATCTGAAGCAAGTTTGTGTTCTCCAAAGTCTGTCCCATAGAAATATCAGCTACTGAGGAAGTCTTAGTTTCTGTGGAAGGCCGTGTTGGTGATAGTATAGCTCTCCAATTAGGAAAAGATCCTGTAGAAGGAGCAACGTTGATATGCTGTTGCCTGATACCTATAAAATAATAAGTAAAATCAGTATATATTCTTCCCCAAAAGGAAGGAGTTGTCTTGTTGCAACAAATCACAAGAGATAATGCATTATGTTTAATAAAATTAATGAATGGGTTTTTTTTTTATTATTCAAAGGGCACAAAAATTCAGAGAAAGTTTAAAAAAAAAAAAAACCACCACAGTGAAAGGTACTATGTGACAGATTATAAACCCCTCAAATCACTCCGTCTGACAGAAGAATAAGGAAAGCTTCCTGGACCATACTATTTCAAAATGCTACTTTTAACTAGGATGGTTCAACATACTAAAAGACACCTTCTTAAGCTTGGTACAATTCTTGAGGTTATCACCAGTCATCCTGTGTCAAAATACTATGTGAGAAGATGGGTTGAGAAGCCATGTAGAAAGGGAATAGATTTTTACAACCAAACTTCACTGACTCGGTGTGCAGTCTGACATGGGAATAGAATGAGCATTGGCTGGGTTCCTGGAGGATGCATCTGGAGGTGCTCATCTTGCCAGTTCTAATAATGCATGCAATTATACACACAAAAGGAAGAAAACAGGGATGAACATGAGGAAAGGGCGGGTAAGATCCAAAACAAATTAGGAAATTAAACTCTTTTTTTGATATGTGCAGATGTACAACACAGCATTTCAAACACCAGTTTACTTTACATTCAGCACCATAATGTTCCTAGGCTTTGTTTTCTTAAAATGATTACAGTCATTCTAAAATCGCAGCATGGGAAATCTCACATTCCTACTAATTTAAAGATTAAGATTCACTCAAGAGTAAAAATTTAAGGGTTTTTTTTCCCCCTCCTCCTCCCTCAAGATAATAGATCAAACCTCAGTACTGGCACATGCCAAGCTGTGCCCCTTGCATAGCTAAACAGAGGCACAGCACGGAGCCAGTCCAGGCCCCCCAGCTCCAGCGCATCGGGATCAGACACAGAGGATGTCAACCTCCTTCATACCGTAATGCCCTGGCAGAGAAAGGAGGGGCAGACCTTGAGATACATGGCTATAAAACAGGCTGAACATTAGTTCCAGCCACCAACCAACCCAAGGGTCAACAGAGCCAACAGCACCAAAGGGGATCAGCCCACACAAGGAGGAGCCAGTAGTAGAACACCACACAGCACAAGAGAGGAAAATGGGTCACGCTGCCCCTATTTAAAGCTATTTATTTCTTGTGGTGCCCTTGTGCTACACCGCCCATCATCCATATGCACAGGCCAAAGTAGTTGATTAGACTGGTTCCTTCAGGCTCTTGTGTGCATTCAACAGGAACGTGCTGGAATTATGTTCAGTGTGGCATTTTCACTCTATAAACAAAAACAACCCAGAAAAAGAAACCCAAACCATAGATCTTTCATTTTATCCCTGTAATTAAGTTTTCTTAAGCCATGGTAAAGAATGGCCATTATTATCTTTCCTCCATTGAAATGCAAGAATGAACACAATCCAGAAACAAGTTGTTTCAGGATGGGTAACAGAACAGAGCTCTGCCCTTCTGACAACTGAAACAGCCCCCAGACCTTTCACTTAACACGGGCTAACTGGCACACTAGCACTTTGGGGAAAAGCAAAGGTAGGCAGACACAGGGCTAGCCACAGCAACAAGAGATGAGCAGGCTAAGGGGAAACCCAATCAGCCTTTGTGAAGCGGCACCATAAGATCAGCAGGCTGGAGAGGAGGCTGCAGAGTCCACCAGGGAACTGGACCCACCAGGAGAGGTTTGCAGCACAGCAGTAATGCTTTTGTATTTGCACCCTGGCTGCTGAGGTGCCACTGGGGGACCCGAGACCTCAATGACTGGCATTCTAATGCCCGATTTCTGACATTCTACATGCTCCACCACGTGTTGGGAAGCACGCTGTGATTTAGACTGTGTTTTGGTGGCTTTTCCTTCCCTGTTACAGTCAGGCAGCTTTTCAAACGGAAGGTAGGAAAGAAGACAACATGTATTGCGCTCAACTAGAATGGATTCAAACATACCATTGAAATTAAGAACTAGATCACATGCTTTGCAAAATCAGGCCTTAGGCAACCTGCAGCTTAAATTTCTGTGAGGTCATCTCAGCTGATAGAGTCATCATTATGTGATCTATTACACCACAAACTATCTTGTTTCACCTCTGAACTGAAAGGCCGTACTGAAAAGTGGAGGGGAAAAAAAAAAAGCAGCCTTCACATAGCAAAGTGAGTCCTAAAGGGGAATTAGGTTTTCTTGCTTTCTAACAGCAAAATCTGTCACCATCAATCCACACAGTCTGCGCCAATCTCCGTATACGTCTTCACACTTTGGTTTAATGAGAATGATTAGGAGCAGAGAGACAATATAAACCTGAAAAAAGTGTCGATCTGAGGTTACCACATTTTGACAAGAAGTAGAGGAAAGCTCAAATAATGCAAAGAGGATTAAAACACTGAATAAAAATGTCTTCTAACCACTGCTTAATTCTAGCCCCTCAGTTCCTGTTTCCTCAATTCCCCATCAACTGGCAACTTTTTTGTTTACTTCCATTAATGAAATTCTTTAGAAATTGAGGGTCAAAAAACATTATTTAACATTCTGCAACCAAAATACATGCTGGTATTTCACTGCCACAAATTTTATTTGCTGCTACCTTTACAGAAAGCTACTATCAGTATCTTTTTCAAACTTCTGCCATAAATGCAACATCCTGGTAGCGACCGGGCGCAGCATGCAAAATGCAAAACTATCCTCCCAATACTTCTGCTCCTGAGACACCACAGTTGCTATTCTTCACACAGGTTTGGTTATTTCTAGTGAGACAACTAGTTGCTAAGCAAATCTCCTCTGGAAAAAGTAGTGGCTAATGAAAATGCCTATTTGCCATGCCCGTAAGATCGGTATTTCATGGAACATCAAGTTCAAAGGGATGCATAAGGATCATCAAGTCCAACTCCCTGCTCCTTGCAGGACTACCTAAAACTAACCCAGAGACTATGAGCATCATCCACATGCTTCCTCTGACAGGTCTGTCACCATGACCACTGCTCTGGGGACCCTGTTCCAGTGACTGACCACCCTCTCAGTGAGGAGCCTTTTCTCAATGTCCAATCTGAACTTCAATTTCCATGTGTGCTATCATCTACAGCTCTACTGAAGGAAACACAATGACTATCCAGAGCTCCCCCAATACCATGACAGCAGAGAATACTGGTCCACCACTCCTGAGCCATTAGGAAAGATCAACTCAAAGGCACGTTCAACCACAAAAGACTTTTGTTGTCTTGACTTCCATTTCATTACTCACAGATCATCTGGATTAGTAACATTTAAGAGTGAAGCTGATAAAAAGGACATTTGGAAATTCTGTTGTACAACTGACCAAGACATCTTCCCATTATATGTCAGGTACGTCTTTTCAAAACCTTCAGCATAATGAAGACAGGATTTCAATTTTCAGATTAATCTGCTTTAATAATTAATTTCCAAGACAAAAAAATAACTAAAAATAATTCCTCCTACTATTAGCTATTGTAAAGCTAAATTTCAACAATGCAATAGTATCTATGTGAGAGTAACTATAGCCGTCTAAAGCACAGCAGAAATCCAAACATTAAGTTACATAAGCAATCTGGATTTTATACAGGTCTAAATCAACCAGCCCTAAGGCAAAGTGATTCCTCAAACAACTTAAAAAAAAAAAAAATCAGCTTGTGAGAAACACAATTACTTACAAACATACATAAAAATAACAATCTGCTCACAAGTTAAGTACTGCTGAGAGGGATCATTCACCACTTTACCCCAGTCTACCCAGTGACAGACAGCACTATCCTGGGGCTGCATCACCTCTTAAAAAACAAAGCCACTATTATATCAAAAAATGAAGTTTTTCTTCCTTCTCACAAGTATGAAGTTTCCTGCTTATTATTGTTTTACCATGAGAGACTGAGTGATGAAAGGTCAGATGTGACCGATATGGAATACACCAGGGAAATAAACAGAAAAAGAACCTCTGTTACACCAGTGGCATCTCCCTGCCCACAGGGTTATGGAATTTAACTCTGTGGAACAATATAAAGCCTACGCAGTACAATGTTAGCATCAACACACATGTTATTTGAGCCACTTCAGAGTTTCCTAAAATGATTTTTTAGTATTATTCCTTAAGAGCTTACAATTGGAAAAATGGCATATTTCAGTAATGCAGATTTCATGGGTCAAAGGATATGAAATATGCTACACATAAAAGACAAATACTCAGGAAAGCATTTATAAAAATGCTATAAAGCATGTATAAAACTTTTATAAAGCATTTATAAAAATGATACATAGTGTATCAAAATTTTACTCTTACTGTGCAGAATGGTAAAACTTAATTATGTCTTCATAATATGTTATTCCCACTGTACATTGATGAAATTATTACATCACAAGCTAAGCAGCCCATACATCTCACTTTTGGCATCATTCCAAAGACATCTGCAGCTTAATTTCACACCTTTAACATAACATTTAACCTGTAAGTGATATTTATCCACGTCAAAAAGCCTTCCTGGAAAGAGAGGTGCTGAGCCCTGGCTCACAGCCCCAAGCCCTGCCTGCTTCTGGGGTCACTGGGGTTTGGATTGGCCCCGGAGGGATCGCCAGGCTCAGCCACACACTGGAAGGGAGAGCACACCAGTGCATGCACTGCTGGCAGCTGCCAACCCACAGCTACTGCAGCAGAAAGGGATGGTGGAGAGGTGGAGAAAACTGCTTCCTTGGGATTGCACTAACTGCAAAGAGCAAAGGTAAATAAACCAGCAAAATAAATCCTGTTCTGTGACCTCCTTAATATCCATCTCTTTGCACAGACTCTGGGAAAAGTTTACAGCAATTCAATAAACTGATTCTCACATTCATTTCGGTCGTAACTTTTCCCAAATTAGATATTGGCCATCCAAACCCAAATTTCTACCCCAGGGGATTAAAACACAGCTCTTGTCAGCACCCAAGGCTGCTCACAT